AGCAAATACTAGGGAGCACTGCAAAAACACGTCCTACTCGTTTGACATTGAAGTGAAAACGCTATCTATGAAGCTATGAAGCTATAAAATATTTTCGACACTGGCTGGAAGCACGAGACTTTTTTATATTGACTGACCACGAACCTTTAGTGTTGGCGTTTCACCAACGAGCAGATAAGGCCTCGCCCGCTTCATTAGCCAGTTCAGTACAAATATACAGCACATCTCTGGGAAAGAAAACGTGGTAGCTGATGCGCTCTCTCGCATGGAATCAATTATTGTGCCTTCTGAGATAGACTTTAATTTGTTCGCTAAGGCTCAACAAACTGACGACGAAATTAAATATCTTATCAGCGATGAGAAATCTTCTTTGAAAGTTCACAAGTTTACTTTGGGTGCAAGCAAGCAAGAAATATATTGTGATGTGTTCACACAAAACATAAGACCAATTGTGCCTAAGAAATTTCGTCAGCAAATTTTCAATATATTTCACAACCTCTCCGAGTGCCAGAGCGACCAATAAACTTATTTCACAGCGATATGTTTTGCGTTCTATGAACAAGGACATCACACTGTGGGCGCGTTCATGTATTCCTTGCCAGCGATTGAAGATCAGCCGTCATGTTCACATATCTCCAGCTCAATTTCCTGCACGAGATCAAAGGTTTGACCATATTCATATCGACTTGATCGGTCCAATGCCAATTAGCCAAGGGTTTAAGTATTGTTTAAGAATAGTCGACCGGTTCACAAGATGGCCCGAAGCTATTCCGATGAGGGACATGTCTGCAGACACCGTTGTGAGTGCTTTTTTCACAAACTGGATCGCGCGATACGGTAGCCCGAAAGTTATCACAACAGATCAAGGCTCTCAATTTGAGAGCGTACTATTTCGGGCACTAACTCGTCTCATCGGAAGCAAGCGTATTAGAACAACGGCCTACCACCCATCAACTAACGGCCTTGTGGAGAGGTGGCATCGCACGTTGAAAGCCGGGATCATGTGCCATCAGTCAGATAAATGGACTCAAATATTGCCAACTGTTTTATTGGGTTTGAGAACATGTTACAAAGAGGACCTTAAAGCGTCACCAGCTGAATTTCTCTTTGGAACCGCACTACGAATACCTGAAGAATTTTTCAGTCACGAGGATCCACCTGTAAATCCGGAGTATTTTCTTGAGGATTTTCGAATTCATATGCGTAACATCAAACCTGCTCCAGTAGCTCATCACTCATGTTTTTGTTAGAGTGGATGCTTTACGTCGTTCATTAGATCAACCTTATTCTGGACCGCATGAAATCATCGAAAGGATTAGTGACACAGTTTTTAAAATCCATTTTAATGGTAAACACACAAATATCAACATTGAGCGTTTGACACCAGCACACCTTCCAACATCTGATGTGTTCACCGATAGGAGGATTTCAGCTGAAGTCGAAAACTCGTCAAAGGAATCATCTCACAATAATCCAGAAGACCCATTCTCGTCGTTGGACCCTTCATTAGCTCGTAAAACTTATTCTAGGAAACATGTAAAGTTAAATGTTCCATAATTATTCTTTTAATGTGAACACTTCAAATGGGGGGGAGTAGTGTAGGCATCAAAATGTAACAGAGTGACATCTCGTTTTTGTTTTCCTTTTTGCTCGTCATTCGTTCTTTGAATTGAAACGTTTAATTTTAACAACAAATTCATTCATGTTTCCTCTGCTGAAGCGAAATGTAGTTTTCTTTGAACGGAAATGACAAAGACGCTACAGTTCTTCGAAAATGTCGAACTGGTAGGCACATACTAGTTTATGAACTAGTATTTTTTTTTTTTTTAACTGGTTTGGGTTTCCACTGCAGGGAAATTTTAACAAAATTTGCTCCAGATTTTGCTGAAAGGTAAATAAAAGCTCTGCAATATTTTGAACGCATAATCTCAAAAATGCCAAATTTTTAGTTGTGACTCTTTTGAAGACGGTGTGCGAATTACTGGACATTGGGAACGGAAAGCTGCCAGTAAATGAGAGATTAAGACGCATTTTATGGCCTGATAATTTTTTCAACTTATAAACATCGAAAGCAGAACTGATCGAAAGAATGTTTCTTTTTTAAGAAAATTAATTATAGGAATCACGATTGGCTCAGTGAACGGGATATTCTTGCTGCGAAGAATAAGGATGCCTATCTACTAAATAATAGTGGTATTGACAACAGTCGTTGCTTGAGCTGATCTGCTCTTTTACCAGACTGCCAGGCCACTTGCTCACTTTGGTGAATACCACTAATGTTATTCAATCCAGCATTGTGAGGAAATAGCTTATACGTCGATAAACGCCGTTGTGGAAGAAGACCATCCAACGGAGTTTTTGAACTCGATTGATCTTCCAGGGAGACCACACATACTGAAATTGAAAATAGATGTGACAATTATCATGTTGCAGAATATTAATCAGCTAAAACTTTGCAACGGAACGCGACTCGCATTTAAGAAATTAATGAAGAAATTAGTGTAAGTAAAGATTTTAACGTGGCCTTTCAAACGTGAAGAATTCCCATGATTCCGACCGATACACCATTTCAATTTAAAACATTGCAACTTCCAATTGATATTAGGAATCACAATCAATAATGCTCCAGGTCGAACTTTGGAAAAATATGCACCCTCATTGCGTAAGTCGTAAATTAGACCAAATTTCACGACTCGACAAGACTGGCATTTCCTACAGTCGTGTCGAACGAAAGTCTGGTAAAATTCGACATGGCAGCACTTTTGTCGCATTGTGTAAAGTATTCGATACGGCAACGTCGAGAAATAAACGCCATTTTTACAATTACCGTTCTATTTGTCGAGGAAATAACCATTAGTGCGTAATTTTTAAAATGAAAGTGACGAATAAACAACAATTTGAAGAAATGGTGGGATATTTAGTAGCAAAACCTTTACTGGCTATGGGTTGGAATAAAGAGCTAACCAAAAGCCAAGTAAAAGCCGAGTGGGAAAAAATTGCAACCAAATGCAACAGCTTAGGCCCCCCAGTTCGTGATGGAAGCGGTTGGCAAAAGGTTATAAATGATAAAGTTGGAATAACTCTGAATATTACTGATTATCTTACTTTATTTTTTCAAACAAATAAAAATCAAATAGGTATGGCATGATTTAAAATATGCAGTAAAAAGCAAGCTGCGCCATAACGCTTCCGAATCAAGGGCTACAGGAGGTGGAATTTTTACGCAGCGTATTCTTTCTCCACTAGAGGAGTCTGTGGCTAATTTGGTTCAATTTAATAAGCAAATTAATCCCGGAGGGGTAGCATGTTTTACACCACCAGATGACCAACCGTGCACAAGCTCTCAAGTTTTAAACGTATCAAATGTAGACCGTAATACTTCAGAGTCTATAGAAATAATCTCCAACGGTATAATTTATGACAGTGATGAAAATAGAGAGAATATTCCACCCTCAAGAACAAACTCAACGAAAACACCCCCGGCACCGAACAAAGAAAGGCTAACCCAAAAGAAAACATCTTCGGCGACGAACCGGGAACTTTTACTTCAAAAGCAAACTGAAGTACAGAGTAATTTGTATGAAGATGTGAAAAACTCACTTAAACGTATAGAAGGCCATTTGAAAGAAACAGAGCGCTACGAAAGAAAGCGATTCAAACTAGAGGAGGAACGCCTAAGACTTTACAAAAAAGAACTGGAGCTAAATGAAACTCAACGCAAAATCAAAAATCAACAAAGGAAAGAAAAGATACTCCTTAAACAGGAAAAACTAAAAATACAAAGAATGAAGTTAAACATTTTGGAAAGAAATAATTAAAAAAGTAGTCTTAAGAGTAATTTTGAATTAACACTTTTATTTTACACTTTATGAATAAACAAAAGACTGAATTGCAAAACATAAATAGGTTTTAATTAATCAGAGTGTTCATCAGTGAATTTCTAATGTTTGCAGCTGTTAAATCCTCAGGTGGCAGGACGTCGTGTCTATACTTGTTTCTTCACTATCTTCATTTATGGTCGTCTCCTGTGCAACTTCTCCTAAATTTATACAAATATTGTGCAAAGCTGCACATATACTTATAATCGCTTTTGCCTTATTAAAATCGTACATTAATCGCTGAGAGCTCAAAAGGCAATGGAAACGATTTTTCATCACACCAATAGTTCTCTCAACAACGTTTCGAGCCTTTGAATGACACTTATTGAATGTACTTTGGTGTGTACCTTCTCCTGCGCTTCTATATGGAGTTATCAAAAACGGCTCTAATGGGTAACCAGCATCTTAAATAAAGATGTTGCAGTTTATTAAAACAAATTGGAAGTTTTAAAATACCTAATAACCAAGTATTGTGCTCTCCGTTATTATATTGGGCTTGTAAATATGACCTTATGTCACTTGATCTCCAAATGAGTGAGTCATGACATGATCCAGGATATCTCGGGTCTATGCTCCTAATTCGCATTTTGTGATCACATACCTTTAGTGCAAAAAAAAAATTAGGTAGGATAGAAATGTTTAATGCCACTTACCACCATTGTGATTAAACTATAAAAACCCTTCCTGTTGTAGAAATGTGGGCGTTCTTCAGCACTTGGAGTTCTATTGCTATGTGCGTTCCATCAACACATCCTATTACGCCAGGGAAACGAAACTTTGTATAAAAATACTCTTTTATTTGTAATTTGTCGTCGTTGTCTGGCATTTTTATCCACTTGCAGCAAAGTTTCTCCTCCATTAAAGGTATCAACTCTTTAATGATGAGACTGACGGTTAGTTGAGCGAGGCCTAGATTAAACTGGTTTCCAGCTCCATGCTGGTAGCTGCCCTTGGCCAAAACGTTCAAAGTGGCAGCTAATTGTATGGCTGGTTGCACGGCAGTACTACGAATTGCGTCTGGTAATGCAATTTCTTCCAGTACTAACTGAAATGCTTGCTTCGAAAAGCTTAAATTTCGCACAAACCTGAAAAAGTTAAACAACATATAAACACTCGCATATGTACATATGCATTTTCAGAAAAATTACTCCACATCTGGCAAATCATACACATTTAATTGCTGCCTCAAATGTCTTCGCAATTTTATCAGCTCCTGTATTTGATCCTCGTCTTCTGATGAGCCGTAAAATATTTCTATGCTATTCATATTTTGTTAAATACAATAGTATTCACAGTAATTTTTAGTTAATTTTTGCACTTTATCACTTCATAAACAAGCTGTCGTGCTGAAAAAAGTAAACGACGAAATTTGTCGAAAACTATACAGTGCTGCCAAGTTTTTCCGTTTTAATACACTAGTCGAGTGGAAATTTTAGGCAATGACGTGAAATTTTCGATACGATTCGACTCTCGAAAAAGACTTGCATTCGACACGACTCTCGCAATGAGGGTGATGGCTTAGATTTAGATGCGGATTGCTTCTCAGCGGGGCTACTCTCCAATGCGATGCGATAGGCAATCGCGACAGCGCATTACTTACGACGTATTTGCCTATCGCATCGCATTTCTCTTTCGCATAGCATTACAGAGTAGCCCCCCAGATGTTGCGTGTTCCTGTGTCGGCAAACCAGATATCTTTGATATCTATGCAGAGATGGGAAAAACAACAAACATATGCTTTGTTTCGTTAATAATTTATCATCCATATAACAGGAATACACCACAGCAAAGCGTGGCAGGGTACAGCTAGTCTATATGAGTAGTCCACTTGCAAACAGCGTTATGTGATTTTATAATAGTAAGCCATAAATTAAAAAAAATATGTCTACAACAACAAGTAACATCCAAATTATATATTTCTTTTTATTATCTGAAAATTTGGATAAATAGGAGCCTACTAACAATAAAAATCAAAATCGCAGTGTGGTAGTTTTTGCAAATTTTGTATATAGAAATTAAATATAGCGAGTTTTGAAAAAGTAAGTTTTATATATCCAGCTTTTTTAAGCTTTTCGCGTTCTCTCTTCCATGAAGGTTGGTCTGCTTCTTTTCTAAGACGTCTTCCACTAGGCACCGAAACTACCACGTTTTCTTGCAGTTTTCTAAGTTCATCAGAAGATGGAAACTTTTGAGCTTGTATAAATACGTACAATAAATATTATAGCGACTTTTGGAAGTGTATATATACATACAGTAAGTATTAAAGCGGCTTTTGCTAGAGTAGCTAACATTTGATGCTATATTTTCAGAATATATAAGGATTTTGCACTGTATTGTTTCTGGACATGAAACTACTTTAAATACTGGTACGTTTACCACCAAAAACTAAAAATCAAAAAAATTTACATAGCGCACTTTGCAAGTGGACTACTCATATGTATACAATACATATATGTATACTATACATATATAAAAATGTTGTGTTCTTATGTCACGGTCGTCAAAACTCGAGAACGGCCGAACCGATTTGAATAATTTTTCGTTGTATTGTTCGATATAATACCAGAACCAATTATATCGCAAAAAATTGCAGGGTTTCCACCTATTTGAAAATTTTTAAACCCAATTATTTTGATAAAATAAATAAATTATTACAAAATGGGTATCAAATTAAATTGGTTTGCGAAAGATAACTGCTGGAAATATTTTTGCGAACGTTGCCACCTATTTGAAAATTTTAACTCAGTCAAATTGATGAAATAAATGAAATATTGTCATGTGGGTGTCAAACCAAAGTGCTTTAAGAAGGCTTACAGCCGAAAATATGTTTGAATAGGGTTGCCACCTGTTTGTAAATTTAACTAAAGTACATCGATAAAATAAATGAAATATTACAATATGGGTATAAAATTAAATAGGTTTAAGAAAGATAACTGTTGGTAATATTTTTGGGAAGGGTTGCCACCAATTTTAAAATTTTAACTCAGTTAAATTAAGTAAATGAAATATTGCTATGTGGGTTAGAGTGCTTCATAAGAACACTCTTTTTGGAAATTCATAAACGTTACATCAGAATATGATTATTTGTGATAAAAAAAGAGACACGTATTTTTTTTTTTGAAAAAAAAGTTTTCTTAGAGCTCGTGCTGGTCGGTTTTTTTTATAAAAACGCTGATGTTCTCAATTTCTTTATTTTCTTGAAATGTTAAAATGCAGCTAAAAATGTGGTTTTAACATATAATTACTCTGGTATTATTGGGGAACTTTCCTTTAATTACACACCTGTCTTGGACAATTAGAATGGGTCTAGTTCCCGAAAATATGCTCTCGAAAAGACACTAGTAAAATTAAAACGTTAATACTGAACGATTTACGCATTGTCATGGTTTGGAACTTGTTACCAGGGGGTTTCTGGGGTTGCTAATTAGGAATCTGAAGTCAGTTTTTCGAAATTCAAAATGGCGGATCCAAAATGGGGGTCCATTTTTAAAAAAATTTATTGGATTTGTTCGAAACCCGGCACTCGAGAGTTTTTGTGGTCGCCGATTACGAATCTGAAGTAAATTTTTTTTAATTAAAAATGGTGGATCCAATATGGCGATCAAATTAAAAAAAGTACTAAAATTATAACGTTGATACTGAACGTTTTAAACATTGTCAAGGGTTAAAACACGTTCCCAGTGGGTTTCTGAGGTTGCTGAATACGAATCCGATGTCAGATTTTCAAAATTCAAAATGGGGGATCCAAAGTGGCGCCCAACTTTAAAAAAATTGATTGGATTTGTTTTAAACTCTTAACCGCCAAAAAAAAGGGAAAATATTTGAAAATTTAAACTAAGATATTTTGCATAAAATAAATGAAATACGGTAATTTGGGTATCAAACTTTAGATTTTTAGGAAGGCTTACAGCCGAAAATATGTTTGAGGAGGGTTGCCACCTCTTTGAAACTGTAACTCAGTTAAATTGATTAAACAAATAAAATATTGCAATGTGGGTATCAAACTAAAGAGGGTTTTAAAGTCCAGTCGAAAAATATGTTTGAGGAGGGTGGCCACTTGTTTGAAAATGTAACTCAATTAAAGTGGTAAGCTAAATGAAATTTTACAATATCGGTACCAAACTAAAAGCATTTGTTTGATATAGGTACCAAATTAAAGAGGTTTAAGAAAGATGACTGATGGAAATATTTTTGAGGAGGGCTGCCACCTAATTGAAAATTTTAACTCAGTTAAATTGATTAAACAAATAAAATATTGCAATGTGGGTATCAAACTAAAGAGTTTTTCAAAGTCCAGTCGAAAATATGTTTGAGGAGGGTGACCACCTGTTTGAAAATTTAACTCAATTAAATTGCTAAAATAAATGAAATTTTACAATATCGGTACCAAACTAAAGGCATTTGAGAAATCTTGATTTAGAAATATTTTCAATTGCATTATGCCTACGGTGACCATCCGTTCTGTTTTTTGCAGGACCGTACTGTATTTCAAAGGTCGGTCCTGCGTAGTTTCTCAAACCTGAAAAACCTGAAAATGTACTGAGTTTTTCCAAGTGTCCTGCATTTGTCCCGCATTTTATTCGTTATTTTAAAATTATCGGACAATGGATGGATTTTTTAAAAAAATTGTTTTTTGGTACTTTTCGTAGCTTTTCTTCAATATCTCATCAAAAAATCTCCCAATCAACGTAAGCGACTTACAGCTCGAAGGTTATTGATGTGCCTCTTACCAAAATATATAACTTGTGGCGACTTCAATGAAAATTATTAGTGCTACAGGCGACCATTTGCATTTTGTCGTCAAAATCGAAAAAAAGAGATTTTCATCAAATACGCATTTTCATTTGATTATTTTTTTCATTATTTTAAAAATTCGATAAGGAAGATATATCATTACAGTAAATTTTCAGCCAGAGATAATGAAAATCGGATTAGAAATATAGATGCTATGGAGCGCAATCTGCACAAATTATATATTTTTGTAAAGGGCACTTTGTAACTCGTTGTTTACGTCGATTCATGACGTCGATTTTTGACAAATAACTGCGAAAAGTACCAAAAAAACAAAAAAAAGGGTATTGTTTTCGTTTTGAACGACTCAAATTTGCCTATAAAATAATCTTTTAAAGGTTTCCACTTTTCGTGTAAGCTATTGTAATTATAATATGTTTTACTATACTTTTATAAATATTCATGTAAAAAAATATTAATATCGATGAAGAAAACGTGATTCATTTTTAAAGTTTAAAATGTATTAAGAATTTAGACTCATAAATCTTTTGATATTTTTATACTACGTAAATATGTGTAGGCATATTTTTGAAAAATTGTCCTTCATTTTGAATCCATATTTATGGTCACCGTAATTATGCCCTATCTAAAAGTAAAGGCAGCAAATATTGGAACTAAGGCAAATATTACATAATTGGTTCCAAACGAAAAGTGTTAGGGAAAGCTTTATTAAAGTTTTTTTTTTTAATGTTTCCACTTATCCAAAAGCTGAACAGTTTAAATAAAGAAAGAATTTACAAAATCTTATCAAACGAAGTGATCACATTGTCAACGAAGTGTTGGTATACAAATTTCGCAATGAAGAAATAATAATAAAAAACTGCTGATACAAATGAAAAAATAATAAAAATCATATTATCAACGAAGTGTTGGTATACAAATTTCGCAATGAAGAAATTATAATAAAAAACTGCTGATACAAATGAAAAAAATAATAAAAGCCGTAACGAAATCATAAAAATATCCCATGAAAGCTGTTTAAAAAAACCTTAATGAAATCTTAAAATTTTGGTCTAACCCAGTGAAATTAGACTTTTTCTTAAATAAAATTTGTAACAGCAATTTTTTGATACAGTTTACTTCTATTTGACACGTAGATCATGGACCCACAGTCTTGCCCCTAAATTTCATTTGACAACATTCCGCCATCTTGGATTTAAGTTTTTTATGGGTTTTCATTTTTCGTAAAAAATGGTTAAAAACAAATATGTAGAGAATTTCATTTTCCATATTTGTTATATAGAAGGTCGCGGTTTTTGCAATTTTTTGACAATTTCGGTTGAAAATACATAGCATATTGAAATTCCAAAGTTGTAGAGAATTTTTTTGTACGACGCTTAGATCATGGCCGAGAACGTGCCAAACATAGCGATTAGCACAATAAAATTATATAAATTTAGTAGGAACAAAAAATAAAAAAATTTGTAACATCGATTTTTTGATGCAGTTTACTTCTATTTGACGCGTAGATCATGGATCCACGGTCTCGCCCCTAAATTTCATTTAGCAACGTTCCGCCATGTTGGATTTTATTTTTTTGGGGGTTTTTTTTTGCGATTTGCAAGCTTATTTTGCATTTTTCGTAAAAAAAACT